CTTCAAAAGAAATTGATGACCTTCCATGATAAAATAAAAAAAAAGAATATCAAGGCACTGTTACTTTATATGTTTTTTGCTTGTGTGTCTTTCATTGTTCTTTTTTTTTTTCTTTTTCTTTTTTTTTTGTTTGTTTGTTTAGTTATGCTTACCTTAAGCTGGTTCAATCTTTCTCTGGTGATGCAGAACATTTTGGTTGAAATCTTTTTCCCCTCATAGCAGATCATTAATTAAAATGATTTTTGTACAGCTCGAAAGATGCTTTAAAAAAAAAGACAGATTTAATATCTATGTTCATATAAAAGCTAAAGAAAGTGTTCTTAGAAAGAAATAGCTAAAGTGGCTAAAGCGAAGTAAAAGTCATACCAAGTTACGTTACTGCAATATTTTCGACCTTGAACTGGCATTGTAGAATCAGTTGTAAAAATTGGATCTCACATGATATATAGTATGGATAAAGCTATAGACTCCTTAAACAATTTGGCTTTGAGATGTCTTTGTTCTCTTCTTCTCCTTCTCTTTCTTCCCCTTCTTCTCTTCTTCTCCTCCTTCTCCTCCTCCTTCAACTTTCTCTTCCTCCTCTCCTCCTCTTCTCCTCTCCTCCCTCCTTCTCCTTCTCCTTTCTCCTCCTCCTCCTCCTCCTCCTCTCCTTTCCTCCTCCTCCTCTTCCTCCTCCCTCTCTCTTCCTCCTTCATCTCCTCCATCTCCTCCTCCTTCTCCTACATCTCCCCTCCTTCTCCTCCTCTCCTCCTTCCATTCTCCTCCTTTTCCTTCATCTCCTCCTCCTCCTCCATCTCCTTCTTCTTCTTTTCTCCTCCTCCTCCTCTCTCTACCTCTCTTCCTCTTCTATCTCTCTATCTCTCTATCTCTCTCTCTCTCCTCCTCCTCTTTTTACCTCTCTTCCTCGTCCTCTCTTTACCTCTCTTCCTCCTCTCTCCACCTCTCTCCTTCTCCTCTCTCCATCCCTCTACCTCCTCTCTCCACCTCTCTCTTCCTCCTCTCTCCACCCCTACCTCCTCCTCCTCTACATCTCTTCCTCTCTATCTCTCTACCTCTCTCCTCCTCCTCTCTCTACCTCTTACCTCCTCTCTCTCCTCTCTTTCCTCTCCTCTCTCTACTCTCTACTCCTCCTCTCTCTCTCTCTACCTCTCTCCTCCTCTCCTCTCCCTCTCTCTACCTCTCTCCTCTCTCCTCTCTCTACCTCTCTTCCTCTCTCTACCTCTCTACCTCCTCCTCTCTCTACCTCTCTACCTCCTCCTCTGTCTACCTCTCTACCCCCTCCTCTCTTTACCTCTCTTCCTCGCCCTCTCTTTACCTCTCTTCCTCCTCCTCTCTCCACCTCTCTCCTTCTCCTCTCTCCTCCTCTCTTCCATTCCTCTACCTCCTCTCTCCACCTCTCTCCTTCTCCTCTCTCTACCCCTCATCTCTCCACCTCCTCCTCCTCCTCTCTCCACCTCTCTCCTCCTCCTCTCTCCACCTCTCTACCTCCTCTCTCACCTCTCTCTCTCCACCTCTCTTCCTCTCTCCTTCCTCCTCTCTCTACCTCTCTACCTCCTCCTCTCTCTACCTCTCTTTCTCTCTCTATCTCTCTACCTGTCTTCCTCCTCTTCTCTTTACCTCTCTTCCTCCTCCTCTCTCCACCTCTCTCCACTTCTCTACCTCCTCTCTCTACCTCTCTTTCTCTCTCTATCTCTCTACCTCTCTATCTCTCTTCCTCTCTCTACCTCTCTTTCTCTCTCTATCTCTCTACCTCTTCCTCCTCCTCTCTACCTCTCTTCCTCCTCCTCCTCTACCTCTCTTCCTCCCTCCTCTCTCTACCTCTCTACTCTCCTCCTCTCTCTCTACCTCTCTTCCTCTCTCTACCTCTCTACCTCCTCCTTCTCTACCTCTCTGCCTCCTCCTTCTCTACTCTTCTGCCTCCTCCTCTCTCTACCTCTCTTCCTCCTCCTCTCTCTCCACCTCTCTCTCCTCTCTCCTCCTCCTCTCTCCTCCTCTCTCCTCCTCCTTCTCTCTCTCTCCTCCTCTCTCCTCTCTCCTCCTCCTCTCCTCCTCCTCTCCTCTCCTCTCCTCCTCCTCCTCCTCCTCCTCTCTCTCTCCTCTCCTCCTCTCTCTCTCCTCCTCCTCCTCTCTCTCCTCTCTCCTCCTCCTCTCTCTCCTCTCTCCTCCTCTCTCTTACCTCTTCTCCTCCTCCTCTCTCTACCTCTCTCCTTCCTCCTCTCTCTACCTCTCTCCTCTCCTCTCTCTCTCTCCTCCTCCTCTCTCTACCTCTCTCCTCCCTCCTCTCTTCTACCCCTCCCTCCTCCTCTCTTCTACCTCTCTCTCCTCCTCTCTCCTCCTCCTCTCCTCTCTCCTCTTCCTCCTCTCCTTCTCTCCTCTCTCCTCTCCTCTCTCTCCTCTCTCCTCCTCTCTCTCTCTCTTCTCCTCTCTCCTCTACCTCTCTCCTCCTCCTCTCTCTCCCTCTCCTCCTCCTCTCTCCTCTCTCTCCTCCTCCTCTCCTCTACCTCTCTCCTCCTCCTCTCTCTCCTCTCTCTCCTCCTCTCCTCTCCTCTCCTCCTCCTCTCTTCTCTCCTCTCCTCCTCCTCCTCTCTCACCTCTCTCCTCCTCCTCTCCTCTCTCTCCTCCTCTCTCTCTCTCCTCCTCCTCCTCTCTCTCTCCTCCTCCTCTCTCTCCTCTCTCCTCCTCCTCTCCTCTAACCTCTCTCCTCCTCCTCTCTTCTCCTCTCTCCTCCCTCCTCTCCTACCTCTCTCTCCTCTCTCTCTCTCTCTCCTCCTCCTCTCTCCTCTCTCCTCCTCCTCTCTCTCCTCTCTCTCCTCCTCCTCTCTCTACCTCTCTCCTCCTCCTCTCTCTACCTCTCTCCTCCTCCTCTCTCTCCTCTCTCCTCCTCCTCTCCTCTCTCCTCTCCCTCCTCCTCCTCTCTCTACCTCTCTCCTCCTCCTCTCTCTACCTCTCTCCTCCCTCCTCTCTCTACCTCTCTCCTCCTCCTCTCTCTACCTCTCTCTCCTCCCCTCTCTCTCCTCTCTCCTCCTCCTCTCTCTACCTCTCTCCTCCTCCTCCTCTCCTCCTCTCTCCCTCCTCTCTCTACCTCTCTCCTCCTCTCTCTACCTCTCTCCTCCTCCTCTCTTCTACCTTCTCCTCCTCTCCTCTACCTTTCTCCTCCTCCTCCTCCTCCTCCTTCCTCCTCCTCCTCCTCCTCCTTCCTCCTCCTCCTCCTCCTCCTCCTCCTCCTCCTCCTCCTCCTCCTCCTCCTCTCCTCTCCTCATACTCACCTTCATATCGGTCAAAATGTCATGCCTCTTTTCCATAGGTAAGAAGTTAATTGGTTCATGTACATTGTTGGTACTGCTATCCATATAGTTACAACATGTCTACATTTGGTGAACAAGAGACAGGATTAGAATCTTAATTCTTCTTGTATTACATAACATGTCTTTCTCAATCAGGATTACCAATCCCTTTTTGTCTATAGTCAGTACTTTTGGATTTGATTTGATTCATCACTGGAATGGACTGTTTGTATCACAGATATTATGTTCTATGTCAGGTATTTTATCAAGTTATTTAACATTTTGTTACATGCTTCAAAACTATGAGTTACTTCCAAATGCATTAATAAAAGGGGCATTAAAGGTTCAGTAGAGAATATTTTGTTGCTCATGTTTAATTCTGAATAACAGCACTTACAGATTATGTTTTTAGGATGTAATTGTGGAAATAGCTTTGGTGAATTCAGTTTGTGTAAACATGAAATGAATGTCAAGATGAATTGGTCAGTGCTATACAATTATACTTCTCATAGCATTACCTCATCACTTGTCAGTTATATGCTTGGCCTGCTTGAGAACAACACTTTTTAAAATAACTATTTCAGTGTATGGGTATTTATATGACTTGTAAGAAAGCTTGCTATGGATGCTGACCACCTTTTTGGACTGGTTCAAATTCACAGAAAATACTTCATTGCTAGAAATTTGCATATACTTAACATGTGTAAATAGGTAAGATAGGTCAGATCTCTATAAAAAAAAAAGGACCAGATATAATAAAACCTTAGGTATGTCAGTATAGCATATACTAAAAAGTTCAACATCAGCACAATTACCAGCTTGCTATCTTACATCAAAGGTTTTCTCTTAAAGAATGTTAACATTGACAATGCTATGAAAGGTACTATTGTATATTTATATGAACATTTATGTTATGCTACATTATTTTAGGCAATTTTTACAATCAAGGTGTATTTATTCATTCATGTTTGAACTTTGTTTTTTTATGATTTAACACTTTCTTTTGAACATTCAAGGACAGTACTAAACTAAGAAATTTTAGAGCAATAATAAGGAAGAATGCTAACATAGATTAGGAGACTTGTGCAAACATTTTTTTAAGTAAAAAGACTAAGGAATTGTTAGTCTAACACCAAAGTATTTGTATGTAGTTTTATATACAGTGATATATTTACTTAAATGTTCATCATAGACACCATGGTTTTAAAATATCAAATTTGAGAATGGTGTGCATGCATGTGTGTATATATTGCATGAAAACTACAGGATTACTGAGCATGAAAAGGAGTTTGTGCCAACTTCTGTAACATGTCCTTGACATATTTAAACACAAGCTTTATACACAGTTCATAATATCATAAGCTGTAATGGATAAAAACATACCTTTGAAAGAATACCTGTTAGAAAATAAAACTGAAAATATTATTCTCTTGTCAATGTCATAAATAGCAGAAAAGAGTATAAATAAAGATGAACAGAAAAACAAAAGCAAAAACATATCAGATATAAAGGTCTGGAACAAAAAGGCCAGTTAACTGGAATGAAAGAAAAGACACAAAAAGGAGAAAGTAAGGGAAGAAAGGAAGCACAGAGAAAATGTAAGATAAAAGAGATGAGATGCTGGAAGGTAAAGTAGTAATCCAGGAAAAGAAATTTCCTCAGAAATTAATGTCATATCTAAAAATATAGTGCCATTAGGATAAATAATGAAGGTCATTCAGTTATCACTATTTTACTGCTAACCATATTTATAAAATACACAGTTGAATTTTCTGAAAAATAACATGTAGCATTAGTCAATTTACATCTATAAATATGACTATAGTATTTGTACTATTCGGATTTCCTTTCAGATACATGTGTATTATAATTTATTGCTCATTCAAATTCCATAGCTCTGATTCTTTGCTAACTAAAATTTACATATGCAATTTTGATATTCTGCTCAGAAAAGAGCATCAACATATGAGAGAGACTGACAAATGGTTTTGGCCTTTTTTAGTACCTCAGAGCTTGATTTACCATTGCCAGTGGAATCCTCAGAGTCTAGGCTAGTAAAATGTGAGACAGCCAGTGCTTTAGTACGTGATATAATTCGTAACCTCAGGTCTGATATTGTGACACAGTTATCTTTATCATCATCAGAGGATAATTTTCTTGATTTTAATATTTTTCTAGGTGTTTGAGTTGCCATAGAAATACTATCTGGATCAACATTAGGGATATATAGTTTAGGCTGCATAATAGAACAAGATGTATCTGTACGGAAACTAACATCAAGTGTCATGCTACCACTGGGTACTGGAGATTCTGTAACTCGTTCTGGGGAAGTAAATACTACCCCTCGAACCCCCAAGGCACGTCTGGGCCGGGGTGCCAGGCCATGACGCAGGGAACAGCGGCGAGGCTGATGAGATACCATCAAAGGCCCACCTTGAGACATCATCCGAGTAATGGCCTCGGGAATTAGAATAGGATCAGGTGGTGGATAAGTGAGTAAGTGATCATATACAGACATGTCAAACTTGGCTGACTGGTCAGGAGCATTAGGGTCAGCCCACCATCCTACCTTTGACCACTGCTTTACAATGGGGATTATGCGTCTTGGTCTGAGACATCCAACCATTTGCATCAGTTCATCATAGGATGAATGATCACTGTATAGTACTTTGAAGATTCCCTTGTTAGCCTGGCTACTGTAAGGTCCATGAGGCCATCCAACAAATAAGGCTGTCAACACTATACTGATGGTTGGGTTCTCCTCATTCCATTTTTCATGTGTTCTTACTTGGATCTGCAATAGAGTACATGAATGAATTACTTTTAATATATATTTATCAGATCAGAACTAAAAACTTAGCGTTAACATTAAGTGTCATCCAATATTTCAGGAGAGGTTATCTATAATTAACACTTCCAAGTATATAAAATGCACTCTCTTTGGCAAACTATTCCTCTTCTCATGAGAGAATACTTTTAGAATTGTTGATTTCGGAAGAACATCCTGAGCAAAGTTTCAAAGGGACAAATTGGACATGAAACCCCTCACCCAGTTTTTATGCCTATGAAAATATAAGTAATAATGGATGACTCCTAATGTTAAATTTGACATTAAGCCCTCCAACCTAGTATTTGTGCCAATGAAAATATATGTAATAATGGATGACCCTAATTTAGAGTTATCTGGGATTTTTAGTTTTTGATCAGATTCATGACAATAAAATTCAAGAAAATATACCTGTGACATTGGGACTGCATGAATCCTTGCTTGTGAAGGGTCATTAGTAAAAGCATCTGAATACTGCAGTAACTCCAACACCTTAAATTTGTCCTGATTAACAAGAATTCTCTCTTGAAATCTCCTTGCAACTGCTTCCAACAGGTCTTCCCTGCCAAGTTCTCGGACACTGATCTTAATTGTGTGGTCTGGGTAGGAACTGCAAAGAGAGACACATGACATCAATATTTCATGATTTTTCAAATTTGCATTGTCTCTGATATAGAATACTTTGTATTGTAAATCTTACACTATTGGAATTTTTCTTGCATGTTTGACAAAAGTGCATATCTCTCTCTCTCTGTTTGTTTGTTTTTCTTTCGTGATTAATTAAGTTAAAATACTTACACAAAAATTTCAATTACACATCATGAACACTATTATTTCAGTGGAGTCCTTGAAAGTAATTTCTTTAGAATATCATCAATCTAATTCTCTAGTTACATGTATACAGGTGCTTATCTTACACTCATGTTGCAAGAATATTGCCCATTGTTTTTTCCCCATTAAGTTCCTATATGTGAATTCCTTTTGGTTACTGCTCTCCTCTTAAAAAGAAGAAGAAAAAAAAAAAAACATTTAAATTAAATTACAGTCCAGCATAAGGCATCAACACCTTAACCACGCCAACAGGGATTTCACTTACTTTCTAATATTCACATTCTCTGCTGTTGGTTTGGAAAGGTAGTCTACTTTCCCATGACAGAAATCAAACAAACCAGACGAGCCTTGCAACCCTTGAGCTTTGCAGGTTACACCCTGTATAAAAGGTAAATCGCGTTTTCATTGAGCTAAAGCGTGGACATCTGATGTATCTTGATATAATGTATAGGAAAACTGTCCACGTCTTGGGTATTTTCTGATGAGAGACTAATTTTGTCTAAGTACATCAGGTTTTAAATCCAGATTTTCATTACAGTAATTAGATTTAGGAGCAGTGATATTAAGAAAGTTTTTAATGTTTGGTTTTCCATTGCCACATCCAAGCCCATCCACCAAAGCTGTTGATAGAAATGCTTTAATATATTAAAAATAATACAAGGGATTTTCGACATACTCAATAACATCAAAGAGCTGCTTTTTGGCTTCCTCTCTGGATGGAAATCTGCAAAAGGGTGCTGAGAATGTATTGTCCAAGTAGAGCACATCCAGTTCTCTTGCTTCTACCAAGCTCTTCAGTACAGGATGTTCTACAAGTTCTGGATACCATCGCATGTCACCACTATACAGAATATTGCCAAAGTAACCTGAAAATATTTAGAGAAATAAATTAAATTACATCAATATACAGAAGTCCAAAACTATAAGTAATTTTCTAAGATATGCACATGGATAATATTAGTTGAACTTGTATTTCTCTTCTATTTTTTCAAAAGAAAATATTCAAGCACAAGCTGTATATCACTTGACTATGGTGACATGTCTAGCAGTACGAATATGTATGTCAAATATTTCTAAAATATAAGTAATTATTATATATATATATATATTATATATATATATATATATATGTGTATATATAATATATATATATATATTATATATAATATCACTATAGTATATATATAGTATATATATATATATATTATATAGTTATATATGATCTATATATATTATATATATTATGTGTATATGATAATATATATATATATATAATATATATATATATTATATATATATATATATGTATATATTATATAGTATATATAATAATAATATATATATATATATATATATTATATATATGATGCTATATATTATAATTATATATATATTATATATATATATTTATAATATATATATATATAATATATATTATATATATATATATATATATATATATTTTATATATATATTATATATATATAATATATATATATATATATATATATATATATATATATATATATATATATATATA